TGTGGTTAGGGCTGTTCACTTAACATCTACTTTCTCACTGGACTCAGGTGTAAATGAGTACCTAGCTTCGGTTAGGGACGTCCTCTAGGATAGGACGTAAAGCGGCTGGTCCCGGAACACGAACACCTGGCGGAAAGGCGGGATGTGGTTAGGGTTGCGGACTCAGAGTCTAAGGGTTCTGGGTTCGAATCCCTAACAGTCCCCAACTATTGTGTCCTTGGGAAGAGCACTTTACACATATTTCATCACTTTATTTATTTATTTATTTATTTATTTAAATTGCAAACAATACAGTGCAATACAGTGGAAGCCCTGGCAGCTGAGCTGATGTCGGGCCCCACGTTGTGAAATACATACATACATAACACAATAAAGTACGACTCACATACCCTACGATCCATAACCTAGGCTAATGCAATGTATACAAAAAAGTAATAATAAATCAGTATGGTAGGAGGCCAGAGGTCATTCAAAATATATAATATTTACAAACATATATTATTTTTAATATTTACAATGTTGTAGGAATAGATGGAAGGACTAAGAGTTATGTAATTAGAATCGGTTTGTTGATGAAATGTAAGTGTGAAGAGCGGCCAAAAGGTTTTGATCTGTAAGAGGGTCGTGACCTGGATAACCGTTGAGAAGGATGTTTGTAGAGAGGGGTCGATCTGTCAGGCGACATACTTCGGTGGCAAGTGTTTGCCGTGCGTCCTCGTACAGAGGGCAGCTGAGGAGAAAGTGTGCAACCGTCTCAGACGTGGCTCCACAGCTGCAGCTCCGAGAGGTGAGTTTGAACTTGGCGAGGGTGGAGTTGAGCTGAGACCAGTCAAGACGTAGTCTCGTGGTGAGGATGTTGTTCTGTCGGTCACCTAGCCTTCGGTACTTCGGTACTTCGGTATTTCATCACTTGGCTCAGGTATAAATGAGTACCTAGCTTCGGTTAGGGACGTCCTCTCGGATGGGACGAAAAGCCGGAGGTCCCATGTTTAAGGAGAGCCACACCTCGAGCATGTTAAAGAATCCACCGCACTTATCGTAAAGAGTTGGGGTCCATCCCGGTGTGAGTGCTTCAAACCTGACAGTCCGGTTTTACGCAGACTGTAGTTACATGTAGAAAACCGGTGTGTCATGCTTAAAGGTGGTTTACCTGTTGTGTGAAACAAACAA